TTTTTTTTTTTAACTGTCTGATTGCAAAAGCCCAAAGATCAGCAGTTAGAAAATTAAAACAACTGTATTAAGAAAATAAATTAAAAATTAAAAAAAGAAAAGCTCAATAAGAGCGGATGTTGACTAGCATGTATACTTGAATTCATGCACTATGTACAAATACTTTTATTTTTCAAATATATTTGTGACAAGTGACAATTTCAGTGTTCCCAACACTGAATGTCACTGTTCTGTTGTTTTTTATGTGTAAATTGCAAATGCAGGTACTGATGATAGATAAACTCAATCTTTTGTTAATTGATTCCAATTAATTACAGAAAAGCATATTAATTGTATCGTACAATACTTACAGTATGGCTTGCAATCTGAGAGTCTAGAAATACAGCAGTGAATAATAAACTACCATCTTTCAATCTGTTAATAAAAACAACAGAACTCTATATGAAAAGGTCCAATAGGTTGAGGGCGCTATATAGAAGTAATGTTTGTAGATGCTATTATAAAATCACTCTGACTAGGAATTCAATAGAACTATTATTTCTTTTGTTTAATTTCTAGTTTGAAAAGAGGATAAGAGGAACTTTGAACCTATATGGTTGAAATTGACTTGAGGACTTCAATGCAGTAAAGATGGTAATAATACAACTTTATAATATAAAACATTCTCATGTATATTGTACTTACATATCTGGCATATCTCCTAGTTGTATTATTATCACTGTTAAGGTATGCAGAGTTAATTCATACACAGTATTCTGACTTGCTGCAGCTATGTCAATCTATGGGTAGAACATACAGTATGCACTCTATTACAAATACATTTTATCAAGAAACCATTAATTGCATTTATTGAAAGAAGATTAGATGTACTGATCATTAGAATAAAAACTATGATATCAAGGGCCATCAGCCATATTTCAATACTAATTATGACTGACATTTATGCCTAATCTTAATACAGACTAATACAATAAAACCCTTTATTTTCCCTGGCATTTAATTTCACTACTTTAAAGTTTGGGCCTTTTCTCTGGTTTTAAAATTATGAATTTGGAACAAAAGAGATTTATTCTTTATTATTTAACATGCTGATGCGAATCTAATTTAGCAAGTTTTACTGATCAGCAAAAATTAAAATCCAGTGAATAATTAATGCCAGTACAGTACATGATAATATACACATCTTACTTTTCCTTGTAATAATAATAATAGCGTTGATAAATGACTTCTCTCTACTATATATTCACATATTTGAGTTGACATTTGACAGCATGCATAGACAACCTGCAAAGAATAAATGAAAAAAAATAATTAGAAGTTACCATCACTACCATCCTTCAGCAATCTCCCCCATCCTCATTGGTTATTATCAATCACACCTCTGTTATAGCTGCATCCTTGATCATCATGGAGAGATCAATATAAAATGACTTTGAAGGCTTAAATAATTGGTCAACTTTCTATAAGGAATGTTGTGATTGGTCATTGTGATGTGTTGACTCAGGAACACACAAAACATCAAAGAAACTAGAGAGCTTTCAAGTTTAACTTCTTGTTTATTTCGCCATTTTCAGTTACCAGCGGCACTACTTTTTACATATCAATACACTCAGTGA